GAGACGTATGTTACCCCTTGAGCTATGATTTCTTCTGCAAGTGCGTCAACTAGAGCTAGCTCATTGTTGTGATATTAAAATAAGTAAAGGAAGTTGAAGTGTTGAGTACACTTTGGATTCCGGGGTTTATGATAGTATAATTGATATTAAATTCCAGACTCAATCATACTACAAATATGATTTTGGGTTCTATCTGAACTACAATATGCGAGTATGGTATCATGAGCGAAATGGTTAACGCAGAAGGAGGGGATCTAATCATATGGGTCGGTAGATTGGCACAGAGCCGTGGATTTCCATCGCGATTCTATTGAAGTTCTTTGAAGCAACCCCGTTCATTGTCGTTGCCTCGCGACACTCCACGGAAGGTGAGAATGCCGCAGGATTTCGTGCGGTCAATGTACAGCCTGAACTATGTCCAGGGATTTCGAGTGCGGATTCTGAGGCACAATGAGCTTGAAACTTGCGACGGTGGAAAGCTTACAGTGTCCTTGTAAAGGAGGTGCCACGTGTATCGGTACTCGTGGTGCGTACCTGTGAACCATGGCGTGGAAGCGCTCGAATGCCGATAGAACCATCCTCGTGGGGCAAAGTTTCAAGGGATCCGCCTCGAGTATCTCTGTTTCGAGTCGCTCGATCGTCCTCGGGATTTACGTACCGCGGTGAATTCGAGCTTGAGGAGAAGCTACGAAAGTAAGGACCAACCGGACGCGCCCGCTCGTGGAAATCTAACGCCAATAACTCGTCCAGGAAACGAGGCGAACCCCTGACTACCAGCTCTCGAGACGCAACTTCTCGACTTTGATTCCGTCGTGGGACCCAAGAACCTCTCGAAATCACGAGCTCCAATCTTCGACCGAGAGCAAAACCGTACCTAAAGTTAGACTTTCGGAGACGAGATTAGGACGCCGGAATCCCGTGATTCCCAGTACGAATGAAAGGCATCCGAGCATGTTGCCCGCGTACAGGGTACCTTTCAATGAGAATGGAGGGAAGGGTTGAAACTCGTGTTCAATTTTTGGGGTGCTACCGCAAATTTCTTCATTCTTACATTTTTGTAAACGGACAATTTTTTGGCTTTACAATTCTGAACATTTTGATTTTTAAGAGTTTAAAGTTACTGAAGTTTAAAACCAGTTAACAAGTTCCCTTACAGCTTTCTCACTTTTCTAGATTTCCGAAAAAATTTCATTTTACTCAGGTTCATTTGTCTAGGTGAAAATGTAAAAATGTACAAATCGTAAGGTAACGAAGAGTATGATTATTTTCCCTAGGGACGTCTGCGATACGTGGTAGAATGCGATTCTCCATACGGTTTCTTCGCCGCTATCCTTTCGTCCTCGTGGTCGTCCTCGTGGTCGCGTATTCGTGTCTCATTTTCCACGCTTTCTTATCGTGTCTCGCGTCTTCCACCCGGGATACCACATTATTACGTTTTTTGCGATCGCACCGGGATGTTCGACAAGACAAAGGAGCCCTGACAGACCCTCGTAATATCTCGTCCGCATTAAAATCGGAAGGCCAGAACCTCGGAGCTGTCCGTGCGGCGCGAACCGAGGGAAAAAAAGTCGCGCTAACACGAAGAAAAGGTCGAAAGTGACCGGTCCGGCTCGATAAAAGAAAGAGGAATGCCATGGGGGCCAGCTCGAACGAGGAAGCTGCTGGTTGCCGCGAAGCGTGTTCCCTTACGTCAGCTTGAACGCGGCCTTTTTTTCATCGTGCTCGCGTTAGAGGTGCACCGAGAGAATGCACCGGTTGCAGAGAGCAGCTGCGAGTGACGCGTGAACGAGCAAGCGAGCGAGCGAGCCGAGCGGGTTTAAGCGAGTAAAGCGACACGGCGGACGCGGTTAGGACACGCTCGTTTCACGGAAGCGATTCTCATTCGAGCTCTGTTTGCAGTAGCAGTTAGCGGCGGAGCTTTTTATACGACTATTTACTTGCACAACGTGCACACGACGTGCGGAGTTGCATCGTGGATGCTGATCGAGCCCCGTATATCGATTACCTGCCGCTTACGGTGTTATCAAGACACACTTAATTAACGACGAACAAACGGCAGCGAGTAGTATCCGGTCCCTAGGTCGTCGTAGCCGGTTAATCGGTACGCTGACTGCGAGAGGAAAATGGCGAGAAATTACCTGGATCCTATAAAATCAACTGTATTTCTTCGCCTGCCGACTCGTGGAATCCATTCTGCCGTGACCGGCGATTTTGCCCTCGTTTAACAGGAATACTTTTCGATCCTTTACGGCACTGGAAAACTTTTCACAGCCCCGTAAAATCGCCGTTTCTTTCTGCTATACTTGCTCGTCGCCGCCTCACGTTTTTACTGAGTTACTACTCTTAGAATCGATACGTGCTTTCCTTCACGACGAATTGTCGCTTGTACTCGTGTTTAATTATTCATTTCTTTGTCAATTCGTGATCGTGTCAAAATAGTATGCTACGTTTATATGTATGGTGTGATTACGATAGAACCCATACCTCCACTTGACTTGTTGCAAAGGCTCCAGATTTGAAGAAGTGATAAATTTGAAAATTTCAAACTTCTGGAAGTACGTGAAATTTGAAAACTTCTAAAGATAGAGAGTTCTGAAAACTTGAGAATTTAAAAAATTTAGAGTTTCACAATCCTAGAACATAGTAAAAAACTTATACAAAACGTGCGAATAGTTTTGAAATTGATTCATATTGAAAGTAAATATAAAAACTTCCCACGTTCCATTCGCACAAAAATATTCCCAGCCGATTTAAAGCCATTAGATTCGAATAAATGTAATGAATCAAGATTGATCGTTTGATCGTAATACATTTTTTTGTCCCAGCACGAGTGCACGCGTTTTAATGGTTGAAATCTCCCGGTGCGGTGTGATATTTCACGGCAACAAGAAGTCGTCGAAGGCGTTGTTCGTGGAAAGTCCTAACAGCGCTCTAAAATGGCATTGTGGCGCGTCGGTATGGAACTAATGAACTCACGACGGGGCTTTCACGGACAGAGTTATTACTACCCCTCTCTCCGGCTACAGAGTTCCTCACCTCGTTGTCCTTCTGTGTTAGTCCTCTAGTTCGTTCCTCGAGGTACTTCTATCCACCACCTTCCGACTTCGAGGTATCCCGGTTCGCGTCACCGACCCGGTCCTGGACACTATGGTCGACCGGTATTATGGCAGATCTATCGTTCTTTCGTCTTCAATAAGCCTGGAGACCTAGTTTTACGATCCTTTCTTCTCGATGTTATTCTTCTTGGCAGCTCTTTTTATCTTGCGGGATAACCTTCAGTGTCTTCTGTGCGACTCTGCGCTGACGTTAAATGAGAATCGTTGTTATGTCTTCTTTGCTGGATCTGTCTTTCAAAATATTATTCTTTTTTAGATTGTTCTTTCTCATGTTATTCTTCGATGTAATTGTTACGTTTGGAGTTTCGAGTTGCATATTTTTTTAAACGGGAGGATATGCATTATTCCACTCTTTACTGTTCTTTACCGTCCATTATTGTTCTGTTCTTATATTGCTTCAGTATTTTACTGTAGAACAATTCCACTATTTTGCTCTTCCATTTAAACAAACGAATTTTTGAAGTTACCACGACACAAGTCAATGACCGGGGTCCAAAATATTGCAGCTCCTCCATCATATTCGATGACGTTTACATCGTTTAACTTAGTCCTCGATTGTTCAACCGCGTACGAAACGAACCGCGTTATTTCCCTCAGCTCGCGTTTTGAATCGTAACGAAACCATTCATCGGTCTGAAAGTCGCGAGGAGTATATAATATCATCGCGGCAGTGATCTTCGCGGCCATTAAACCGAGCCACGGGCTGTGTCCGTGAAGAAAAGCCTGGAAGAACGCGTGGTTGGCGGCGGTGGCGTGTCGCGACGAGGGAAGAAGAGCTGGAGGACTTTTCTTCGAGGAAAGTCGCGCCCGTAAATTCGCTAATTTGCTTTCAAAAGAAACCACCCGCCGGCAGATTTTCCGCGGGATAAATCCCCGAGCAGATGAGGGAGGATCGACAAAGAGAGGCAGGAGTCGTCGGGCTATCTCGGCCTCCTTTCAGCCGATCCCGCCAACCGTACACCAACAGAACGAGCCACTCTTGTCGGCTTCTCATTGTTTGCGTCCCCTGTATATACGCGCCTATACAGCGGCGTCCTTTATCTTAATTCCATTGCACTTCGCAACGCGACACAGCCTATCAACTGTATCCCTCTAACGTGTACCCCTTCTGTGTACACCGTGGCCCGGCAAAACCAACCACCTTTGCCCTCCAGCTAGTCGCTGCAATTTTGCGCGAGCTACTTTGACGTGTCCTTGACTCGCGCCGCTTGGAAACCCGGTGGACCCCTTCTTTTTCCCCGGGTACCCTTATTCAGTCCCGGTAATTCAAGTCTCTGTAGCCTATCGCGGACGGGGGATGAGGTACAGTGTTGTTTTCTTACAACCAAATCGTGACTCTGCTATTTTATTCGTTTTTCCATTGTGCCACGATTGCGACGACTAATTAGACCCTCGTTGCGTGTGCTATTGACGACGAAATCGGCTGCTGGATACTTACAGGGTGTTTTGTTCCCTCTTTTCTGTTACAATGTTTCTGTTGTTTCTTACACGGGTAACCTTCTGTAGGGAAAATATGGCAACTCAGAATCCCTCACTGAATGATTCTTGTAAATTTGTAGGATTATAAATTGAGAGATGAATTCGGGGGTCTTGAGATTTTACGGTCTGGAAATCTATAAATTTGTTGGGGTTTAAGCATTTATGTCATAGGAATCCAAGGATTTAAATATGATTACTTTACGTATTGAAAATATATCTAAGATATAGCGCTTATCGTCAATATTTGCCAGTACAGTAGACAAGGATTACGACAGTGGATTTAGTCGGATCTTATCAGTTCACAACTCTACCCACCAGTGTTGCGTCATTTACTTTGACGCGTTTATGACACGTTTAATAGCAACCGCAACAGCTAACAAGCTCGTTTCATCATTTCTGTTACAGAGAGGTACGATACCGCGTACGCCTGCGAGGGCAAAACACTGAGGCTCGAGTGCGGCGAGGGAAAGCTGATCCAGCTCATCAGAGCGAACTACGGGAGGTTCTCGATAACGATATGCAACGAGCACGGGAACACCGACTGGAGCGTCAACTGTATGTCGCCCAAGTCCTTCCGTGTGCTGAATAGCGAGTAAGTATTCCGATGATCGACGTCCTTGCATCCCACGTACACGACTCAAGTCCTGAACAATCAGAACCTTGTGCCTTGGTCCCGAGAAAATGGCGTCGAGGAAATCGTGATGGTACAGCATCGTAGCTAGAAGTTGAAGTTATAGGTATCGAGAGAAAAAGAAAGAAAAAGTGGAGACGGTTGCCACTGCCAGGATATTTTCTATCCTTAATGAGTACGCGCCTATACAGCGGCGTCCTTTATCTTAATTCCATTGCACTTCGCAACGCGACACAGCCTATCAACTGTATCCCTCTAACGTGTACCCCTTCTGTGTACACCGTGGCCCGGCAAAACCAACCACCTTTGCCCTCCAGCTAGTCGCTGCAATTTTGCGCGAGCTACTTTGACGTGTCCTTGACTCGCGCCGCTTGGAAACCCGGTGGACCCCTTCTTTTTCCCCGGGTACCCTTATTCAGTCCCGGTAATTCAAGTCTCTGTAGCCTATCGCGGACGGGGGATGAGGTACAGTGTTGTTTTCTTACAACCAAATCGTGACTCTGCTATTTTATTCGTTTTTCCATTGTGCCACGATTGCGACGACTAATTAGACCCTCGTTGCGTGTGCTATTGACGACGAAATCGGCTGCTGGATACTTACAGGGTGTTTTGTTCCCTCTTTTCTGTTACAATGTTTCTGTTGTTTCTTACACGGGTAACCTTCTGTAGGGAAAATATGGCAACTCAGAATCCCTCACTGAATGATTCTTGTAAATTTGTAGGATTATAAATTGAGAGATGAATTCGGGGGTCTTGAGATTTTACGGTCTGGAAATCTATAAATTTGTTGGGGTTTAAGCATTTATGTCATAGGAATCCAAGGATTTAAATATGATTACTTTACGTATTGAAAATATATCTAAGATATAGCGCTTATCGTCAATATTTGCCAGTACAGTAGACAAGGATTACGACAGTGGATTTAGTCGGATCTTATCAGTTCACAACTCTACCCACCAGTGTTGCGTCATTTACTTTGACGCGTTTATGACACGTTTAATAGCAACCGCAACAGCTAACAAGCTCGTTTCATCATTTCTGTTACAGAGAGGTACGATACCGCGTACGCCTGCGAGGGCAAAACACTGAGGCTCGAGTGCGGCGAGGGAAAGCTGATCCAGCTCATCAGAGCGAACTACGGGAGGTTCTCGATAACGATATGCAACGAGCACGGGAACACCGACTGGAGCGTCAACTGTATGTCGCCCAAGTCCTTCCGTGTGCTGAATAGCGAGTAAGTATTCCGATGATCGACGTCCTTGCATCCCACGTACACGACTCAAGTCCTGAACAATCAGAACCTTGTGCCTTGGTCCCGAGAAAATGGCGTCGAGGAAATCGTGATGGTACAGCATCGTAGCTAGAAGTTGAAGTTATAGGTATCGAGAGAAAAAGAAAGAAAAAGTGGAGACGGTTGCCACTGCCAGGATATTTTCTATCCTTAATGAGTCGAACCAGCACCAATTAAAGGAGACGTTTCGATCCGATCGAGCTTAGATCGCGCTTGTCACTTTGGTCCCCGGGTTATCGAACGATCCGACTTTCCGCGTGGATCGATATCTACACGGCGAAGCTTTTACGAGCGTTACGTGCGAGATATCCAGCATGACACCTGGAAGCCCAGCCACGTTACCTCGAGGTAACGAGAAACGCTTCCTGCAGCTCGCCGCGCGCGTATTTATCTGTGTATATCGATCATAGTCTTTAGATGACCTTGCTACGATCTATACGATCTATCCGAGAGAATCTCGATCCGATCGCGCGGATCTCCCTCGGCGGCCAGAGTTACGCGCGCGATTGGACGGCTCGATCGACGCCATCGGGAATGAAAAATTATTAACCGCCGAGTATGCGGAAATTCGTCGAGTCGGTTTCGCGTGCAAGATGCTTTCATCGTTTGAACATCGGATAGATTGAACTTTCTATTCCCTTTCATTACATCGGTTGATTGATCTATTCGAATCGCTCATAAAATTCTTCAATTATTATACAATCGGGACTAGGAACATAATTTCATAAGGTTTGAATACTTAGACTTTAATTTCATTTTGAGATTCTCTTTAGGCCTTGCAAGGGGTATAAGACAAGTGCACTTGTCTTACATCCTTTGTTACAATAAAGGTTTAAAATGATTGAGATAGAAGATGAATTATTGATAATAGGTTTAATAACTTTTTCGAGATAATTGAACGTTAAGATGTGAGCCATCACGTACCTCGACGCTATCTTATCCTCTATCCACGGAAATGGAGCAAAGAGTCGAGGAAATAAACATAGGGTTAAAAAGGGGGAAAACAATGTATCCAAGGAAGAAGGAAAACGAAGAGGGAGTGGACGACTTCATATGGTCCGGCGAACTGGCCAATTGCTTGACCATTGAAGAGCGTATTTCGCGGTGGATCAGAGCGATAGGAAGAATCGCAAACTCAGCGGTCGCTTCTCTATCCCGGTCCTCGTGAACATCCACTCCATTTCCTTCGATCTTCGTGTCCCTCGAAATACACATGCACGCGTGGGGGGTACGCGCGCGGGTATTTTCACAAGTCTCGCATTCCGCGAAATCCCATCTTCCTAATGTATCCTGCGTACTCCCTTTTCTGTTCTTTGTCTGAAGTTTATTTTATTAATTTTCTTTCGTTTCTCTTCATTCGCGACGGTGTATATCGAGATGGTATCTGATCGATCGGTCCAGATCATCGATTTCAATGAGTCACCAAAGGTGAGGACGAGAAAAAAGAGACGAGACAGGGGAGACGAAATATTGCTGATCAGCCGGGATACGCGTTTCGTCATTGTGATTAATAGTTGTCGGGCGGAAATTAGTTTGGTGGCGCGAGGAAAACGACGACGTTGATAAGACGATCAGCGTGCCAGCGAAGTGAATAATTGGGAAAGATAATCGCGATGACAAATCGAAATCGTGCACGACGGGGTTGATCTCGATCCTCGTTGTCGATAGTATGACGCGCGGATAAAGATGACCACGCGAGAAGAACGGGAAAGTGCAACGTAATCCCGTAAGAACCGCGAACAAGGTTAAAATTGAGTTGCGCCCCCTCCGGTGGGCTGAAGTACGTTTTCAGAAAAACGCATTTAAAGTTCGAGGCAACGTCTCGTCGGGAGAACTCGCTCTAAGGACCTCTGGCTGAGGAGTAATGACTTTCGGATTAACTTTAAGTGGAGAAGTTCCACGGTGTCGCTCGCACAGCCAAGTCATACACGTACACGTCTGTCGTCGCGACGCTTTTACACGCGTCTGCTTAGACCGTATATACCCGCTCCGAGAGACCAACCGAGTTCGACGTCAATTTAACTCGGTACCGGAGAATCGATCGGGAGATCGCTAGCCTGATCGTAATCATCGTCTCTCCTCGATGTACATTGCGGGGCATCATAGGCTTCTTTAGGGAAAATATCAGTGTAGGAGAAAGACGATTCATCTCTTAAATTTTAGTTGATTCTCAAGATTGCAATCTTTCGTATTTGAAAATTTGCCAAAGTCTGGGATTTGTTAATTCAGAGAATTTGATAATTTGGAGATATAGAAATTCAAGGAATTTGGAAATGTTTGAAACTTTAAAAATTTGGGTATTCATGAATTTGGAATTAAGTTCGAATACTGTAGTACAACTCTTAGCCGAAAGAAGCCTACGTTGCTCATCTCGTCTCTTTTTTCCCCTCCTATTTCCTTGATGAAAAAAATGTCTGTTCTTTTCCAAGGAATCTGGACCGCGACGGATACTTTCTGCCCTCTTTTATGCCGTGTCTCAAAAGTATGCTTCGCGAAATCGAGAAATTTCGTGCAACATTATCAAACAGTGATATCCATTCGTATCGTACGGCGTATCACAAAGAACACAAAGAGTACCAGCGAAGACGATTCATCCGAGAAAAATATTACCCTCGTCTCTTCCGTATTTGGTAGTCCGTTTGATTTGCAAGTCGAATCGATTATTCGTACTCTGAGATTGAACGAGAATCGAACGTTTCTAATTGACTTAATTAGCGTATCATTAAGCTCCCGGAATAATTCACTGTAACAAACGCGCGTTTAATCGTTTCATTCTCTTTGAAGTCTTGGAAACTCCGTCGGAATCGTCTGACCTGGTACACGTCGTTCATGAGAGTTATTTCTTTTCCTCTCATCAAATCGAGAATCAACGGTGCAAGTTTCACCCACGCGCCAGTATCAACAATAGCTTCAAGTTTTCCGTTCGCGTATTTCCGCATACTTCGAGCCCCGGTTTGTGTTCTTTCGTTGTATTTTTTTTTTAATTCTTCTGTTTCCCACTCCAACGCGATAATCGACCCGTTGTTACATTTAACGTGTTCTTTCCTTAACCGAAGGGTGTGGTTCGCGCAACTCCCTCAACAATTCACATGCATGCCATAATCTCGCTTCGAACTCTTGCTGGGTCTTCTGGAATTTCTTTTTACTTCCGTATGATCCTTTGCCACATGTTTCCCGGGTTTTTCATGTTAACGCATCGACTGTCGATCGGGAAGAATGACGTTTTGGTTAATGAGCTACAATGACTCGAATACAAATTTTGTACTTGGAGAATTTTTGAGAACTTAGAGAAATTCTCGAACGATGGTCGATGGACATTGGCGTAACTAGGACTCTCTAGGATGGGTCCCTTACTATATGTAAATTACTGTATAAGTCATTATATTTAGTATGAATAAATATTCCAAGGTTTTGACAATATGAGAAATTTAGAATTTGGAGATTTATTATAAAGTTCAAGATCATAAGCATAAAATAATAGTAGGGCCCTATCGGTAGCTTGGGCCAGTTCCATCCAGGTTAGCTAGTTACGCCACTGTCTCCTACAGGTCGCTGTAACTCTCTTTCCTAACATCGTACCCCAGGGAAATCCCTTTTCAGAGGTAAGCAAAATGGAGCAAGGGTATTCTGAATCAAGGGACAAGTAGTCCAGGATAATTCTGACCTAGGG